AATTCTCCTCAAAATGTGAAATAATTATTAAAATGTAAGGAGTCACCTGTTTTTCACATTACTAGTCGCGGCCGATTTTACGTACCTAAAACGATAGATTACCAAAAATCTAAATACTAAAAAAGAGATTTCGGTAATCTATCCTTACAAAATGACTTATTTCTAGATCTAGAATCTACATGTAATTAATTACATTACTAACATCGTTCAATACACATTTCTGTCTCGCAATTTTGAAAGAATAAAACATTCAATTCTGCAATACTTTCACAAAGGCTAAGACTTCAGCAACGAAGAAGGTTGACCAGACATGTGCTAGGGCCTAAGCAACATGGGCGAACGTACTTTTTGGATTCAACGGTTGAAGAGTAGGCCTAGCCTAGATGTCGTCTCGCGCTAACTGCATTCAAAACGGGGTACAACTGGTGCGATGGTGCGCTACTGTTTTGATTTAGGGAACCTGATTGTAGAGCTCTAGGATCTATGTATTTAAGTGTGGAGTGTTGCGGATGGTTTGCTTTTTACTTGAGCTCAAATTATTACAATAAAGAATAAATGTTCAAAGACCCAGCTCATCGAATTACATAAGTTTTTTTTAAATTTATTTTTAATTATTTGACTCGTTTTCTGTACAGGTCTAAAGTTATTCTTGTTATGTTTTGACAATCGACTAATAGAAAGGCTTTTGTTTCCTATAATTTTTTTATCATAGTTTCTTCCAGGCATCTCTTCGGGGGGTGGGGGGGGTGCGAACAAAGTCTACCTCCCCCCGCCCTACGAAACGGAATTTATTTACAAAATATACTTTACCAGTGTCCGCCCCCTTCCTGGAAAGTTTAGTCCCCCCCCCCCCCCCCCCCCCCACGAAAATATCAAGTGCCTCCCCCCCCCCCCTCGAGAAAAAAGTCTGAAAGAAACACTGTTCTTTATATCAATGGCCATAAGTATTTTACAAATGAATGGCTTAATCGGGAATTTAGTCATAGAATCTATTTTGTTTGATAATAAAAAGCTTATTAGGGATAGTTCACTAATTATACAACTCGCAACAGGTAGGCTCACTCCCAGTGGCGTAGGCAGGGGGGGGGGTTAGAGGGGGTCATAACCCCCCCCCCCCCCCCCATAGACCCCTCGGTATATAGAAAAAGTATGAGGGGGTGTGCAAATCGAAAGTTTGAGAGGGGGGTGTGCAAATCGAAAGTTAGAGGGGGGGTGCAAATCGAAAGTTTGTCCCCGGGTAAAAATTGGACCCCCCCCCCTTGAGACGATTCTGGCTACGCCACTGCTCACTGCCAAACTGGCTGAAGTTAAACTTAGTTATACAGAATACAGGGTAGATCAATGATTTACTTGACTTAGTTCTCTTTGGTGCTTCTGGAACATAGGGCCTCCACCATATCCAGAGGCGTAGCCACCTATTCCGGAGTCCGGGGTGGACTACCAATTTTTTCTCCCTCCTCCAATTTCTTTATATAGTTATTCCTGTCTATATAAAACCGCCCCTCCCCCCCCCCCCACACCAGTTAGAAAAGTTTGCAGCGCTTCTTACCAGTTACTATCCCATAACTTTTTCGGCGCCACAAAATTGATAAGGAAACATTTAAATCAGTGTGTAAAACCTTGTATTTGTAGTCGTTTATTTTCGTAACTTTTATTGTGTATAATTCGATACTTCAACTTAAATCGAGCTTTCCCCTTTGTGGTCGGCGCCCTGTGCGGTCGCCCAACCCGCCCTCCCGTAACTACGTCATTGATCATATCCTTCAATATTTCGTCCGATCCCCGGCTATTAATTTTGCCGTCTCCCAAGACATCCCTGTTGACTTCAGTTCTTCGAGAAGACTCCGCCTCCAGGTCTGTCTTGGGCGCCCTCTCTCCCACTTTCCCTGGGGGTCCACTCAAGCGCTTTGTGTGACACATTTGGGTGAGCCTTTCGTAGTGTATATCCCACCCAGCGCCACTTCCTCCTTCTTATTGGCACTGTCATAGGCTACTGCCTTGTATTTCTCATTGAAATAATCTTTTGAACCTTACAGCAACAGAAACCATTTTATTTTTACATTTAAATATTCGCACTTTTTTTTTGGTCTAATAATATCCAACCATCTTCTAAAACACCTTTTAATTTCATACAATTACTTTTGTGCTTTATTAATGCTTAGAAATATACCATTCAATAACAGTGATTCTTCAAGGCGTTTTCTCTGGGGGAGGGGGCGGGAGGCGGACACTGGTAAAAGTATGTTTTCTATATAAATTCCATTCGGGGGAGCCCCCCCCCCCCACCCCCCTCCCCGACCCCGAAGAGATGCCTGGAAGAAACTCTGCTCATTAATCCTTAAATTGTTTTTAATGGCTTTCTAATAAACAAGAACAAGGCTTAAGTTTTTGTTGGGTATTTTTAATAATTTATTTAATAGATTCCTTGCACACAACCAAATCTGTACTCAGATACAATAATGAACTACAACGTTTTCAGTGATACCAAACGAGATTTTTGAGATACAAGCTGAAATTTGCTTTGACATACAAGCTAAATCAAGAGATACGAATAACCGGATTAGCCGTTTTAACAGTTCGTGGGGGGGGGGGGGGGGTAAAAAATGGAAAATTTACAACTGTGCATCTGAGTTACCTAACTCATTTCCGTATTATTCAAAAAGAGGAAAAAATACCTCATTGAACAGGTTTATTTTAACGGCCTGTTTAGAGAGCTGGGAAAAGTGTGGAAAGCAGTGACGAAAAAAAAATTAAGACCAGAACAGAGAACAGCAGTAACGAAAATTAAGAAAACGTTACAAAGCATTATGTAGAAGCATTTAGGTTCAATTACGTTCAGTGTAGCTTACGTTCTGTTAATTTTAGTGATACAATGTAGAGTTCTCGGGCAGAGAGGTTCGTTAGCTGGAGACCAGAGGCGTAGCGAGGGGGGGGGGGGGGGTACATATGTCCCCGGCGCCGACCCAAGGGGGCGCCAAAGTGGGTTGAAAAAAAATTAAAAGCTCATTTTAACTGCAGTTTTGCATAATAATTAATATAAAAAATATATTCAAAGTTTGTCCCGGGGAGGGGGGGGGGCCAATTTGAAAGTTTGTCCCGGGTGCCGGGAAGGGTCGCTACGCCTCTGCTGGGGACAGCAACTCTTCTAGGAGAGAAAACTCCAAAATCAAACAACTGCTGCCTTGTAGTTTGTTCTTGGTTGCACAAAGGTTGGACAAAGGCTATGGAAGCAAATCTAAAAAGAAAAGCGGTCTGATATCGGAGTCAAAGGCCTAAATGGCTCATGACCAGTTTACACGTATACTTGTGTTGGAGTGGATCCCTTCCAACACTTAACATTAAGGACGAAGAAGAAGAAAAGAAGAATGTAGTGTAAAGAGTGTAATAAATAAATGAATTTAATTGACCGAAAAGGTTTAGCATTAACACAGCAAGTGAACGATGTGAAGCTCTTTCGCCTATCTTCTCCACTGGGCCTACACCCAGAGGCGTAGCGAGGGGGGGGGGGGGGCGGGGGATGCGGAGCTCACCGGGTGACACCATTTAGGGGGTGACACCAAGGCAGAAAATAGTAAAATATATAGAGAAAAATGATAATTCCACTTAATTATGTGATAAGTTCGAGTGTTAAATAATGTTTTAAGAGGTGCAAATCGAAAGTTTGGGGGGGGGGGGGTGCAAATAGAAAGTTTGAAGGGGGGATGTAAATCGAAAGTTCGAGGGGGGGTGCAAATCGAAAATTGAAAGTTTGGCCCCGGGAAGGGTCCCTACGCCTCTGGGGGGGGCGACTCCATTAAGTGCCGCACCGGGTGACACCCGACCTCGCTACGCCACTGCCTACACCTCCACCATCATCTTCCATAAGCCATAAGCTCAAGTCGGCTAATTTTTCAGGTAAATACACTTTATCAGACCAGTTTATTTCTTTACATTATCCTTTATTATGTTATTCAACAATATAGGTCATGTATAAATACACTTTTTTAAATTGAAAAAAAAATCTAACAAAAACAACTGGGTATTCATTTCAGGGCTGGAACGGAAGTACTGGCATTTCAATTAATTTTAATGTAGAAAATTGCTTTGAGATGTGAGAGATTTAACATAAGAGCAATGTTGCGGGGTATTGTATCCCGATGTACCACTGTATAGCACATTCAGACCTACGGCAAGTTGTATAGGGAACATTCGGTCGGTGAATCAAAATGAAGAGTGATTTTTGCAAACATTTAAATCAGATAGGTAATTTTTACCAATATAAATATGTATGTTGTATTAAAAAATAAATATTATAATCAACAGATGTACGTATATTCTAATTAAACATTGACAGTTTATTAGCTAAGATATTGTCAACTTGACTGTAATCCAAAAGGAAAGAATTAAGGAAAGCTGAAGTTCTAAAGAAAAGATTTCACTTTGGTAAGAACAAAACAATAACAAAATAAATTGTAGGCTACTCATCTACTAAAATCTTATATAAAAATAAACTATACCGATGAATGGATAATATCAATAATTAAATACATTTTACTATAAAAAGCTATTACCATTATTAATATTGATTAAAGGTTACACCGTAAGAATTAATAAGACATTTAAAATATATATATATATATATATATATATATATATATATATATATATATATATATATATATATATATATATATATATATATATAGCTAATGTGTGTGTACATGTAGGTGTATGTGCATTTACGTAAATTGCCCTTTCGAACCTGAAGGTCGATGGGGCAAGTGAAGTAGAGTTCACCATTTTCATATGACTTTTTCATATGAAGGTGAGGTCAGAACTATCTCCAGCTACCTTTACTTTCCCTATTGTGAGTCAGGTACTCATCATTCGAACTCGAGACTTTCGGGTTAGCAGTGGCACTCTCTACCATTCGATCCCACCGTCTCATCTATCAGTATAACTATATACACATACTGATACAAAAATGTAATTATACTCCAGAATGTATATAGTCAATATGTCTAAAATTGCATAATTGCATTTCGAGGTGCCGTAAAGCTGCCTGGAGACACTACATTTTGGGCCTGAATTAACAGATTCCGAAAGTTTTCAAGTTCCGATTGGAAATTTTCCGCGTTAGCTCGGTGCTCCAATAGAAGATTCACAATGATGGTGTTCTGTGTAAACGCCGCCATGAGTAAAACGGAAACTCCGTTGTTGTTCTTGGCGTTTGCGTCAGCACCATTTACCAGCAGCAAGCGTACGAGTGCGCCGTTTTGTTTCGACACTGCGCACATGAGTGGGGTTATTCCATCACTGTCTCGTATGTTTACATCCGCGCCGCGGGTCAGTAACAGACAGACAATATCAGTTCTGTTTACTGACGTCGCTAGGATTACGGCTGAGTGGTTTGATGAATTGACTAGATCGACTTTAGCACAGCGGTTTAAAAATAGCGCAACCAGATGGGTGTACCCTTTTCCCGATGCTATCATTAAAGCCGTCCTTCCGTCATTGGATTGTGTATCTACTTCAGCGCCTTTCTCCAGAAGCGTCACTACCGTATCATACATGTTCATCTCTGTTGCTATCATTAACGGCGTGAATCCTGATTTGTTTTTAACGTTGATTTTTACGCCTTCCGTTAGTAACATGTAAGAAATTTCCGAATGGCCTTTTGAAATAGATAACATAAGAGCAGTTCGGCCTGATATTGTTTCTAAGTTGATATCAGCTCCATGTTCTACAAGAAGTTCTACCGCTTCCTTTCTGCCATAGTAGCAAGCATAATGTAAAGCGGTCCAGTTGTCGTAGTTTTGTATATTGACGTTAGCCCCTGCCTTGATTAACACATACATGGTGTTGAGGTGTCCTAAAACTGAGGACACCATCAGAGCCGTAACACCATCTGTAGTTGTTTCATTGGTGTCGGCACCTTTGTTAATCAAAAACCTCACGTCATTAGATTTACCTGACTTTGCTGCCCCCATTAGCACAGTCCATCCATCAAGTTTGATGAAGTCAACTTGAGCGCCTCGGCTAACCAAGAAACGTAACAATTCTGAATGTCCGCACTCCGCTGAAATCATTAACGAATTTACACCATAAACAGTAGCGTGATTAACGTCCGCTCCGGCTTCTAAAATGGCGTTGACATTGTTAACATTCCCAGCTACAGCCGCAAACATAAGAGCTGTCCAGCCGTTTACATTCTTCAGGCGGACATTCGCACCAGCTGTAAGCAACGACGTGATTATGCCCGTGTTACCTACGTATGAAGCAAGCATCAGCGCGGTGTCTTGTCGAGATGTGGTGACGTAGTTCACATCAACTTTGTTTCGTATCAGATAATTCACCTCACTCTCGTTTTGTATACTGACAGCTAGCATCAAGGGAGACCACTCCAAAAAAGGGGGAATAATCTCTAAAATGTCACCGTCCATCTTAAACACACCTTCAAATCTTTCCATCTTCTAAAATCGAAATGGAAAGAGATTAAATAGGATCCGGATGTGCTAATCAGAAAACGGTGGCTGTGCTGACCACTAACACAACACTGGAGATGCTGCAATCAGATCAATCTGGAGCACAGGATAAAATAGACATAATAAATCGAATGTTATTGTAGTACTTTAATGATATAGGTGGTTAATAAAAACTCTTATCTCCTCTTTAAAAAAAGATTTGCTGACTACGTGGTTTCCTGGAAAAAAAGATAGAAAGTATAGAATTTAAACATCTTTTGCCTAAAAAAAAAAATATCGATTTTTGAAATATCCAATATTTAGGTCCGCCCCACTCCCCACAAGTTTCAAGTGCCACCCCCCTCCCGGTGTAAAATGTCTGAAAGAAACACTGCATACAAAGGACTAGTGCAGACAGATTCACCCGGTCCGGAAACACTGACCAGAGGGCTGACCTGACTGACCTAAATTAACCTGACCTGACCTGACCTAGCCTAGCCTAGCCCAGCCCAGCCCAACCTTACCTAACCTAACCTAACCTAACCTAACCTAACCTAACCTAACCTAACCTAACCTAACCTAACCTAACCTAACCTAACCTAACCTAACCTAACCTAACCTAACCTAACCTAACCTAACCTAACCTAAACTAACCTAACCTAACCTAACCTAACCTAACCTAACTTAACACAGCACAGCACAGCACAGCACAACACAACACAACACAACACAACAAACATAACATAACATAACATAGCATAGCATAGCATAGCATAGCATAGCATAGCATAGCATAGCATAGCATAGCATAGCATAGCATAGCATAGCATAGCATAGCATAGCATAGCATAGCATAGCATAGCATAGCATAGCATAGCATAGCATAGCATAGCATAGCATAGCATAGCATAGCATAGCATAGCATAGCATAGCATAGCATAGCATAACATAACATAACATAACATAACATAACATAACATAACATAACATAACATAACATAACCCAACCCAACCCAAACCAACCCAATCAACGTAGCGTAACGTAACCCAAGCCAGACCAGTCCAATCGAACCTAACCTCAACATTTAATCGAATACACTATTACCATCACTCTCGTCTCATACCCTATAATATCGACCACAAAGTATCTATATAACACAACAAAATGACACAAGAGATAAGCAGTATAGGGGTCATCCATAAATGACGCCACACTCGTAGGGGCGAGGGGGGGGGGGGGGTCCGTAATTTTGCGACCATGTGTGATGAGGGGGAGGGGGGGGGTCGGATGTTGCGACGCCACACTTTTGTTTTAAAAAAATTCAACTGCAATTTTGAGGGGGGGTTGTAAGTTGAGGTGTGACGTCATTTTAGAGGGGGGGGGGTCTGGCTTTTTGTGACGACGTGTGACGGAGGGGAGGGCTGGTGAGGTAAAATAGTCAAAAAAGCGTGACGTCATTTATGGATGACCCCCCCCCCCCCCTACATGTAAAATAAATAGTTCATTGTCAATCATGTAACTTTAAAGCCACATTTAAAAACAAATTTGGAATAACAGATTACTATGATTTAATTTAAAGATTAAATATTAGCCTATAGACTAGATTCTAGATCAATAACGTGCAGGGTTTCTTCCAGATTTATTTCTCCGGGGGGGGGGGGGGGCTTCCACTCGAAGAGATGCCTAGAAGAAACACTGATAAACACAGCAGTTTTTAATGTAGTACTAAAACTAAATCACTCTCTTTTTATAGCGCTTTTTATATGGTCATGTTATTTGTTGTTTTTCTATGTCTAGCCCATCTATATTTCTAATATGTTTCTTTAAACACATAAGCCCTAACCCTAGATGAAAATTAGAAAGTCTATCTATTTTCAGCTAGATCTAGATCTAGTTGAATAAGTCTATTCATCTAGATTATTCTAGATCTAGATCTAGATCAATCTAAGAAAGTTTATTTTTCCCTTTAAAATTGTAAACATTGATCCTCTAAGACTCTAAGGTTATATTAGTAGAAGTTACAATAGTTATCAAGTTGATTAAATAATAACATCGTCGTGTTTTTAATGGATCCGTAAGCTTTGTAGAAAAAAAATATGAATATGTAAGATTTATTTTAACAAAGAAAACAAACAGTATTTACTTTACCTGTCTTGTTAGGCCTAGCAGCAAGCTTTGTGCGATCTTTACACAGAAACACATGGATGACGTGTGCTATTTTTAGATGTTAACACGAAATGTATCGGGAATTCCCGTAGGTATGACGATAAGCGTACGATAGAACGATCAATATTTGGGATTTTTTTTTATAAGTCAACACCGAATTTTATTTTGTTTAGCGAATGTTTGGAATTTCGATTTCGCTGTAGGCCTGCCGTTCAGTTTCGTTTTCGTATTATTATAAAATAGAAAAATTGATATTTTTAAGTCTTACTTATACCTAGGACCTAGGCCTACATGAGTTTATAGTAGTGAATCGACTGTAACAATTTTAACTACGAGCTGACCCGCGACGTAGCATACGCCGCTGTTTAGATAATTTAGTTTAATTCCTATGATTCAGTAATTCATAATTTGTGAATTCGACACTACCAATGCTGTGATTGAAGGGCGATTATCCTCACCCTAACTTTCCACTCCTCCCCCCCCCCCCCTCCCCGCCTCCGTGAAAGCAGCCGTCTGTGACAACAGTTTACAGACGACAATGAAAAGAGCAAGCAGAACATGCTATTACCTCCCTTTAATTTCAGATTCAATTCGTTTACAAGCTAAATTATCTGCCCCTAATAGCCGTCACTACGATTGAAAACAGCTCACCAAACTGGTGCGGGGGATTGGGGGGGGGGGGGGGGGGTTAGCGATATGTTGAGCTTACGTCTTGGTGGTGTCTCGCATGGTCCCCACGTAGAGAATTATATATATAGATGACTATTATATTTATAACACACATCAATGTGCTGATGGTCGTATCGCTCAATCAAAGGCGTTATAGAAATGCCAGGGGCGGAGATCTAGCAAGCAGTTTTAAAGCCTAACAGTGTGTTATATATTGCGCACATTTTAAATAGATCAAGCTAATGTCAGTTTCTTTCAGACAATTTTCTCCGGACGGGGGGTGGGGTGGGTGCACTTGAAACTTTCGGGGGCTGAACAGTGGCGGAACTAGAAAAAAAGGGCCACCCCGCAAAGAATTTTTTTGGGCCCCATATATATATATATATATATATATATATATATATATATATATATATATATATATATATATATATATATATATATATATATATATATATATATATATATATATATATATATATATATTAATTTATTTATTTACATGTATATACGAAAATACCAACACAGAATACTCATTTCGGGCTTGTTCGAAATTTAAAAAAAATCACTAAAATACTTAGTTTTTACAAATAAGTAATACAAGTTACAACAGGTCATTTGTGAGATTGCTATTAGTTTGTTTTGAAAATCTCTGTTATAACATGTTTACTTAGATGCCGTCATGAGTAAGTCGGTCGAAATAATATAAAGCATGAAAGCTGTGTATGTGTAATGGTTTCTCGCCTTATGTTTATTTTTATGTTTTTTTCTTATAATATTATTAGTTTTAAATGCGTTTCCTTATTATGCTTTGTTATTCTTTATTATGCATTTTTTAAAAAAATAATAATTAAGAGAAGTAATTGCTTTTTAATTTGTTTAGTGCAAATTTATTAAAAGGCGCTTAAGAGCACACATATTTGACTAGTTAAAAAAGGGAAATAAGTCATGGAAGTGGTTTGAACAATTGCGTATCTTTCACGCGATTGGTTTATTTTCAAAAGAATTTTGCCGACAACAGCGTGTGTTTGATTGTAGGAGAAAGAGGACTTAAGATGGTTTCTATAGAATAAAGAAAATCCAACCGCAGCTGCAGTATTCTTTTTACAAAACAACCATGAAGTCAAAAATGAAAGAAGATTTTTTTTTAACTGTTAAAAAATTGATTATGGTCGGCTGCGGGCCCCTAAACGTCCCGGGCCCCCCCGCAATGCGGGGTCTGGCGGCACTGTAGTTCCACCCCTGGGGCTGAAGGGGGGACACCTCTTAAAGTATAAGATCTAGAATCTATATTTTATATTTACTTTTTTCTTTTATTTCGTCAAGAGGGGGGTGACACCAAGGCAAAAAATAGCAAAATATAAAGAGAAAAACTTGAAGGGGGGTACAAATCGAAAGTTTGAGGGGGGGGGGGGGTGCAAATCGAAAACTCGAAAGTTTGTCCCCGGGAAGGGTCGCAACGCCTCTGGGGGGGGGGGGGGGGGTGACACCATTAAGTGCCGCATCGGGTGACACCCGACCTCGCTACGCCACTGAGAGTATGTACAAAATCTTGACTTGGGTTGACTGAAGCTTTAAATGGTAATTTAAACAAGTAATGCACAATAAATAATCTTATATTATTATTTATTTTTTCAAATCTCAAACCTTGTTTATTTATTTAAAAAGTTAGGCCTAGACACAGAGTAGATCTAGCTTCTACTTTTCTGGGCTATTTGACCCTTGCCCCTTGGGTAATCAAACGATATGGAAGGGGAGACTACTCCCACAGAAAAGTAAAATGGCGCTGATATATACAAAAACGCTGTTCCTCGGCCGTACTTCAAATAGATCTACTTACATCTTATAATATAAATTATAAAGTACTTAGTACAGTGAATATTTATTTAGATAGTTTGCAAAAGACAACTTAAAACAAAGAATCTTGAGATATATTTGGTGAGAAATCTATTTAACGAGAAGATCTAGATCTAGAATTCTAGATCTAGGCACACACTGAAGCACAAAATTGAGATGAAAATTGTGCAATTCGATTTTTTTTACTAGATCTACTTATTATTTAAATTTATGGTAATCTATCGTTTTGGGTACGTAAAATCGCCCGCGACTATTAATGTGAAAGACAGGTGACTCCTTAAATTTTAATAATTTTTTCACATTTTGAGGAGGATTTATGTTTTGAAAAATACAAAAATGTTTCCTTGTTTCATTTATGTACCTGCTTTCAAACAATTGAATTAAAACTTTTCAATAATAAATGAAGACTAGCGATGTTTCCAACAGATGCAACAATGCTCATTTACTATAGCAGCCATCTTGTTTAAGTTCTTTCTTTGTTAACGTATAGCGCAAGATTCAGGGGAAGGCAACTCTATTTTACAAATGGCTGCAGTTTATATAGGAAATCCTGCTCGTAAATACTGCTGTTTAAAGTTAATTTCTTGCCTATATTGATTTATTTAGTATTATTTAGCTATTGATTTAGGTTTATTATTCATTGTCATTTATCTATAATATTTGACACAAATATATCAAAATATACCTTGACAATGAGGTAACTTTTTCGAACATTAGAAGCCGCGGGCGATTTTACGTACCCAAAACGATAGATTACCAAATTTATTATATATTAACTATTAACTTATTAAGTAGATCTAGAATCTAGATCTAGATAGTACTTAAAGAAGTTAAAATAAAATATAACTAGTGGCTGCAGCCAATTAAAGTTAAAAAAAACAACTGTAAGACAGTTATAAAGATTGCCAGAGCGATATTAATTATTAAACATATAGATTCTAGATCTAGATTAGGAATGTTGGGATATTTTTCCTAATTTTATCATAGAATGATAAAATGTAGGGCCTACACAGATTAATCCTATAATATACCCCATTGATAAAAATACCAAATTTATTCTAGGCCTAATAGGTTTTTTTATATGAATTTTTAAAGTTATGTATTAAACTTGATACATATCACTGTAACATCAGATTTAATTGTGTGATTGGCTTTAGGCTTGCATACTCAATGCATACCACTGCTGCTATTTGAGATATAATTATAAAACTTTGCACATTAGTGCTAGAGAGTGTGGGCAATAGAAATATGAAAGTAAAATCAAAATTTGATGAAGGATAATTAGAACTAATCAAGTCAAATTTTAATTTTAATTTTTTTTCCTCACAGTATTCATTAAAAATTAAAGGCTTTTTTTTTAAAAATTGAAAATTAAAAGAAAGAAGTTATGCCCTGCCTAACAGTAAACTACATTTTCTATAGAGATGTGCTACACTAGTGAAGGTAATTGTTTTTTTGGCGACATTTTCTTTAACAGTTCAGTTTGTTGTCGTAGTAATGTCTGTAATGATAATTCATTGCCTTAACTAATTCACCCCAAGGGTTAAGTACCCTGATTAGCATGATCAGCTGTAAAATACTCGGTGATCATTAGTCTAGCAAAAATTGGGGGAAAGAAAAAACAACCAGAAATCTCGCTACACCCAAAAGAAATAAAAAGAATAATAAAAAACAAACAAACACAAATGTGGTCTGACACAAACCTTCACTACAATAAAGATGATGGATATTACAATTTGACATGAAAACAACAATACATAATCTTTTGACTCAGAACAGGCCATAACAGACTAAACCAACACATGCATAAAAAACTAAAAATTGGGTGTGGTGAAATGTGCCCTTGTGAAAAGGCCCCAGAGAATATGGAGCACGTCCAAAGCGAGTCAGACACTGGTCCCTGCTCACCCCACCCAGGGAAAAATTATATGGAGCACCTGCAGATCTGGAGACCACAGTCCGGTTTATTCATGAAGTTGGGCTTGTTGTCTAAATCCTCCACCATATTCTCAATTAAGAACGAAGAAGAAGAAGAAGATTAGTCTACAGATTTATAATTAAAATGATTTGATTTTTATTACTCATCCTTAAATCATTATAAGGAATTATATTTTCTTCATATGATTATATAATTATATACTTAAAATACCTAGAAAATTACTTTTTAATTAAGTTATCATTACATGTTATAACAAAATTTTCTTATTTTCCCTTGTCAAAATCAGCAATTATAATTTCAGAATTAAGAGAAGGCAGATTTGCATCTTGTAGACCTGCAAGTTTTAACAATGAACACCCTGATAAAAAGACCAGTATAAAAAGTTTGGTAAGTTCATGTTGCTTGAAAATTCTATAATTTTGCTATTGCTGTATTTTGTAGGACACTTATTTTTAACCTGGGTTTGACCAAACCCTGGAGGTTTGGTAAGTCTCAGGGGTTTAGTGTAGGTCCAGACACACCCAACTCATACGATTCACTTTTGGATATGTCAGTGCGGATTATAAAACTATTATAAAAGAAGGGTTTAGTGAATGTGCATATGCAACTGGTGGGGTTTGGTATCTCTAAAAAAGTTAAAAACTGCAGATGTAGGAATATTAATTGAGACCAGCGCACGCAAGCTCAGAAAATCTCACTCTCAGTAAGATTGTGTGTGATTCTTATTGAGTTGGAGACAAGAATTGTGCTTTGTCTATGAATGATGGTGAATTTATTGTGTGATACCTTACAATATTCTATTGAGAAAAATTAAGAAGAAAAACATTGGTTGGTGTTTAGTAAAACTTGAATTGGGTGCCCACATTTTCCATTGCAAACACCATAAGCAGCATGTAATTATGTTAAGTAATAATGTACTATTAAAATATTTGATGCTTTAAATTAAAATCTTAACCCATCTTTTTACTGTATTGAACACTCAAATATTTCATTATGTTAAATTTAGCCCTTAAGACTTTGATAAATACAGATTGAATTATTATTACAGTTGAACTCTGAGAAAATTATATTACAAAGTAATTAAATTAATTAAAATTTTGCAGTCTTTAGTAAAGGGCCTGGTGTTAGAGTGTGTAAATCTAGTGATCCTGTGTTGAAATCTGGGAGATAGATTTAGTTTTGTTCTGCATTTTATTAGTATAAATTTAAATTGTTTAAGATAAAGTTTAACCTATATTTCCTTCTGTAAAGATTAGCACTACCAGTCACGATTATTTTAAATTAAATAGTAATATAGGCTAGTATGGCCTGAAAGATTTTAAAATAATTTACCCAATAATAGAATTAATTGTTTACATGGCTGAATTACACAAAATTGAATTTAAAACATCATTTTTAATTACATTAAAATTAATTTACGTATGAAGTATCTAAGTAAACAAACAAAAGAAAAAATAAAAAATAATTATAAGCAAAATTTAAGTTCATCTGTCCAGTAATTGTGTTCATTTGCATGTGTACATAATAATTCTCTTTAAAATATTAATTTCAAATGGTATTTTTTAAATTACAGCGCATGTTATATAAAGTAGTGAAGTATCTCAGGCAAATGGACAGGGTCAAAATAAATGTTATGTTTGCCCTAAGCTCTTCATGTTTGAAAGGGTTCAATGGGAATGTTGATGTGGTAAGCTATTTCAAGTATACAACATGTTCTAAGACACATATTTAAGTCAGAAAATGTCATCTTGATATATTATTATGTCTATATATATATATATATCTATAATATAAGAGCGTGTGTCAGTCTGTCATCGCTATAGATTTTGAAACCATAAAAGTAAACATCGCACCAAACTGTGCTTTTCAGTGCACCGCAGTGTCTTATTATAAGTAATAGAGTAGGGTTTGTTTATATAACGGCATAGAGCTATTTTATAATTTCCACTGTTTGTACAATTTTGCATAACGTAAAGAGAATATTAAATACACGCACATTGCTAAAACATATTAAAAGGATCAATGTCAAATATCGTTTTCGTTAATATTCCCAGAAAAAGTGGATACATTTTAATAACATAATAACAGTACGGTAGAAAAATCTAATTAAACTGCTTAGTAATTTTGCCAATGGAGGTAATTCAAAGATAAATTGAACTTACGCTAAAAATGTGAATGCAAAATCTGCAAGACGGAATAATTGTTGGAATAATATAATTAGCAAAATGTGAATGCACATTATGCAGACGTGTAAGAGTACATTATTGTTGGAATATTATTATTAGCATTGATTGATAAAAGGCTATCTTTTATTTATTTTATTCACTGAATGTACTGTTTACTAATTATAATTTTTAATCAACTATTCTCCATTACTATATTAAGTCATCACGTTCATTAGGTGCGCAATGGTTTTAGTCATGAAACTTTATTGTAAATTTTTAAAAGTACTGAAAAAAATGCATGAATTTATAAAGTGCAATATGGTCGGTAAAACACGGATATTCTAAATACTGCCTTTAATTTATTTGCGGAAAAGCTAGGGGTTTTATAACAGAGGCTTAGCAAGAGGGGGGGGGGGGGAGGGTGGAAATGGAAAGTTTGAGGGAAGTGGGAGGGTGTAAATCGAAATTTTCCGCTGGCGCTAGGAAAGGGCGCGATTTGGCGCTACGGGATAGACTGTGAGCAATATGCCTTTATGATTACATTTAAATTGAGTTTATGTTGAGTGTTGTGTTTGTTTTTTCATTTTCGTTTTTTCTTTGCGTTCGTTTGTGTTGTATTTAGTTTTGTTCTGTTCCCAACTTGGTACATTTAAAAAAGATTTACCGTGTGTTGTGGTTGTGTTGTGGTTGTGGTTTTGTTGTGGTTGTGGTTGTGTTGTGGTTGTTTTGTGGTTGTGTTGTGGTTGTGGTTGTGTTGTGGTTGTGTTGTGATTGTGTTGTGGTTGTAATATGGTTGTGTTGTGGTTGTGGTTGTGGTTGTGTTTTGTTTGTGTTTGTGTTGTGTTTTTGTTTGTTTTGTTCTGTTCCAAAGTTGGTACATTTTAAAAAGATTTACCGTGGCGGAACACGGGATGCTGCTAGTATATATATATATATATATATATATATATATATATATATATATATATATATATATATATATATATATATATATATTGTATATATTTTTTACTTTTCATATACTCAGTCTTCATTGTACACCTGCCTAATAACTTATGTTACTGGGAGTAAGAAAATGTTAAAAAAATATTTGGATGTTGAAATATGTATTTCTGTGAGTTTAGTATTAGGCAGGGGCTGAAATCCGGTAGAATCTGACATCCCCTCTTACTAATCCATAACAGGTAGACATGTTTAAATATGTATATTAAAAAAAGTATTATTAAAGTAGTCTTTTTATATGTTTTAAAATAAAGTTAAAATATCTTTAGACTTTTTAAAATTTATATAATACAAATACCTTTGTTTTCAAATGTCTTTGTGCAGGGATCATTGGATGACTATCTGCAACACAGGGGACCAGCTACAGAAAGTTTAACAAAGGTCTTCACAAAGCAAATTCTAAAGGGCCTTGAATACTTACATGACAGGGAAATAACCCATGGAAATTTGACATGTATCACAGATAACTTTTGTTATTTGTTACCAACCAATGAGTTATGGTTATTACTAGTAATTTTCTTTTCTTAATAATTTATTTAATTTAGTCGAATAACATCTTTCATTTTCCTTGACATAAACTGAACAACAATGTTTCTTTAAATCTACGTTTTGACCACAAAAACATTTCTTTTCTTGAACATCTTTTTTTTTACTTAGTTAATGCTTTCTCTGCAAAGTAGTTCTTTTCCCATTATTTTCCCAGGCAAAAATACTTTACTTGGGCATCATCTGAATCTAAGGCTCTCAAATTTTGATGTAGCAAATACTACTGCAGGCCTCTGTAAATGCTTACCAGTTTGTCCAAAAGAAACTGTTCAGAGACCCAACACCAGTTGTTTTCCTGATAACTTGGTCAACAAACACAGATTTGATCTTTGGTAAGTAACACATTTTATTCATTTAGATACAGCTGAGCAGAAATTTTAATCATATCAACTTAGCTTTATTTAATGTTTTTGGTATTACAAACTTTAGGAAGCATTGCTTTGTGTGTGTATATGTTTACTCAACCTCTGTACCCAATTAGGATGATTGACGGTACCGATGTACGGTACCGATGTCCGATAATAGACTTCCAAAAATAGGTGTGTTTTTAGGTTTTTTAAATGCTAAAAAATTTAGTAGTATTGTAATCTCAAATGGAAGGAAATGGTGGAGGCCTTATGCTCCATAAGGAGCAAAGAGGACTAAGTCAAGTCAAATCTCAACTAGTTTTATGGTTAGAAATTGCGGTTAGGCATATGGTAGGACAAGTGTTGGGATTAGAGATAGGGTAAGAATTCGAGTCAGAAAAACTGGACTTTGCAATTCTGTTCATTGTCTGTGTGTGCGGATGTATGTATGTCTGTGAACACGATAACTTGAGTACCGTTACAGCCAGGTTGATGAAATTTCATATATAAGAATTATATCCAATTTATAGTTTTCTATCAACTTTTCAGCAATTTCCGATAACCGGAAGAGGAACTTATTCTTCTTATAGTTTCACAAAAGCCTCTAACTTGAGTACTGTTTGACGTAAACAAAATTTCATATACAAGTAATAGATCTAATTATCTGCCTTCTCTCAAATTTTGAGCAATTTCCGTTGACTTTATACGCTATCTCCAATTTTCTCAAAAAAAAGCATATGAATTTATAAAGTACTAGTATATGCTATTTCCAATTTTCTGAACAAAAAGCATATGAATATATAAAGTACTATTATTCCACACTATTATACACATTGTTTGGCGTTCTATTCTTTAGGAGATTCTAGTCCATTTTTAAAAGTTTAAATATGTAAAAACTGATTAAAAACCATGTCTATATCCCGAGTTGCCATCCCTATAGTGTTGTAAGAGAATATTCGAGAAAGTTTAGGGCAGATCACTCCCGCTTTATTAGGAAGATGCTATTATCGGACATTGGTATAAAAAATCCCACCCCCTTTAATTAAAGTAAGTCTTCAGCAGTCTGGGCAATCACAAGGAAAATGTAATCTTTCATTCCATAAACCAAGTCAGATTACAAAGGGTAGTGGGGAAGTGCTTGTAGAGGGGAGAGCAGGAGGGGGGGGGGGGGTGGTGGTTTAAAAAGCATAATGACACTTTTTGTATCTTTTTAAAGTAATGTCTGAAACTGAATTTTAAACAATATCTCACAATTTTAGAAGATACTTTTTTGTTTAAAAAGTCCCAGATTATTTTAGAGAGAAATCACTGTTTAAAAAAAAATAAAAAATTAAATTACAATTACAAAGTGGAGATGGTAGGCCCATTTTAAAGAAAGGGGGGGGGGGTGATCTGGCATATATAACTATGGAGATGGGGTAGTTAAAAACCTTTTTAAAAGGATCAGATTATTTCTGCATGATGTCAAATAAAATTTAGAAACGCCAAATAGAGAAATAAAGCGTGACTAATTGGCTAGTTCCTTATCAAATTGATGTGCCAGGTCTAGAATGCTAAGGGGTCAATTTTAAATCACCTGAGTGACTGAATTAGTCCAGTAATAGGCCTTATTTATAAGACTTGTCTGTAATGCATTGATGTGAATGCTGTGAGTAATTCATAAAGTATCTCCTAAAAATATGAATCTCTTTACAATTTTTAGTAATGACAAGACTACCTGATATCCTTGGTTATCAGAGTTTTGGGGAACATCCATAAATGACCTCATGTTTGTGTGACGATTTTTAATCTTTCCTCTTCCCTCTGTCACACATCGTCACAAAAAGCCAGACCCCACATTTAAAAAGAAGTCACACCTCAGACAATATGTTTTTGTCTTTTAAAACACAGATTTCAGCTGAGCATAAGTCTGACCACACTATTCCTTCATAAGCTTAGGTTACAGAAACAGGTTAACTCTACTTCACCCCGTATCCCGCCAAGTCCCAGTATGGTAACTTTATCATTCACATCTAAAAAAAAAGTCACACCTCAGTTTACATGCTTTTATTGTTAAAAAAACATTGACTTCTATCTATAATATTTTCTGATCTTGAACCTCATTTGAATAATAAATACATAAATTATTAAAGCTAATGTAAAACTAATAATAATGAATTAGAACTAATCAAGTGTGTTGTGATTTCCCAATGTGCAATATCTATGAGGGGAAATAAAAAAAAAATCATCAAATCCATTTTATCAAAGACTTAGCCTTGTTACAATGTACATTATATTAGTCATGAATTAAAACCTTTGAACGAATGAAAATTGCATCCATATCCAATATCCCCATGTCTAATTTTACCTGCATGTCCCAGGTGTGTTGGTTGCGCTGTAATACAAATGCTGTCCGGCACTCTCACCTGTACTGGCCAGACAAAAGACCAACTACTTAACACCCCACCAGACGACCACGCCCAACTGGTGACCTGGTCCCCAGGACTTAAACAGTTTTTGGACTTAATTTTTCAAGGTCAGCAGAGTGTTCTAGTATCTGCTGGTGATCTTCTGAAGCAGTCCTTCATCACAGACACAACATAGCCAAGACTTCATTACAGACACAACATAGCCAAATCTTCATCACAGACACAACATAACAGTCTTCATCACAGACACAACATAGCCAAGTCTTCATCACAGACACAACATAGCCAAAACTTCATTACAGACACAACATAGCCAAATCTTCATTACAGACACAACATAATCAAATCTTCATTACAGGCACAACATAACATAATCTTCATCACAGATACAACATAGCATAATCTTCATCACAGACACAACATAATCAAATCTTCATTACAGGCACAACATAACATAATCTTCATCACAGACACAACATAACATAATCTTCATCACAGACACAACATAACATAATCTTCATCACAGACACAACATAACATAATCTTCATCACAGACACAACATAACATAATCTTCATCACAGACACAACATAACATAATCTTCATCACAGACACAACATAACATAATCTTCATCACAGACACAACACAACATAATCTTCATCACAGACACAACATAACATAATCTTCATCACAGACACAACATAACATAATCTTCATCACAGACACAACATAACATAATCTTCATCACAGACACAACATAACATAATCTTCATCACAGACACAACATAACATAATCTTCATCACAGACACAACATAGCCAAAACTTCATTACAGACACAACATAATCAAATCTTCATTACAGGCACAACATAACATAATCTTCATCACAGACACAAGAAAGTTTTCATCACAGAAACAATATAGTCAAAACTTCATTACAGACACAACATAGCCAAAACTTCATCACAGACACAATATAAATTCTTCATCAGAGATACAACATAATTAAGTCTTCATAACAGGCACCACATTTTTTTGAAACCATTGTAAGAAATAGAACATTTAAAAGAACAATTAAAATATATTTAGTGCCGTATGTAATTGTGTTTCTGTTTCTAGTCATTTATTTTCTATTCCTAAACAAAAATTGTAAACTATTTCCTTAACTGCAAAGCATTAGATATAGAATTTTAGAAGACAAATTGAAAATAATTCTAGTGCTATTGTTTTGTTGCTTCTGTTTCTAGTCATTCTGTTTAATTCCTAATCCTAAACAGAAAAATGTTATCAATTTCTTGAAATGCAATCCATTTAGTTGAAGATGTAGAAAAACGGTTTTTAGTTGCACAATGGAAAGATAAAATCTTAGCATTTGTTTTTAATATCTTTCAAAGGTCTTTTGTTATTCATTCTTTGTTATTTTCTGTACATCATTAAGTAAAAGCTTCACTAAAACATTGAAATATCTGCAATATATAAAAATAATAATGGGAACTAACTCTTTTTACCGAAAATATGTTTATATTGTACTACATGAATATTTTTTTGCCCGTTGTATTGAGTTTAAAATATAAAAATACTGAGTAAAAATAAATTTGTGAAGATTTATTTCAAATTGTATAAATGTATAAAGCTGCCTAAAATAATAAATATTTATCAGAGAAACTGACGTCTGTTTTTTATTGTTCTTTCATAAGAAAGAAATACTTTATTAGTTATTGAGTTGAAAATAAATGGACGTTTAAGAATGAGATATAAAGTTAGTTACCCTTTCAAACCTGGTGGTCCAGCTAGCAGGTGAAGTAGAGTCCATCTGTTTCTGTGACCTCAGGACAATGTTGTCAGCACTAAGCCAAGCCGCCTTTACTTCCCTAATGTATGTGAGATACTCATCTGAGTAAAATATTGTTATATAAATTATGTTGTGGTTGGACTCTTAAAGTAACTTAGTACTGAATGAGTCCATGTGTCTCATGAGTTTCTGTTGCCCTATGAAGGTTGAGTGAGCTAATAACTTCTTGGCTATGACATGTGTCACCAGCTATAAAAATCCTTTGCTTTTTTTTAAAAATGTATTCACAGACCTAAACGATTACATAGGCTATCAATTTTAACTTCTACAACTCAAGGCAAATATGCAGTCAGCATTTTCAATTTGTCCACGTTAGCATTATTTCCAATCAGTTTTTTTATTACCGTAAGCGTATTGTGCAGTTGTTTGTTTAGGTGGCTTCTCTTGTTAAAATTTTACGCTAAATATTTTGGTATGAAAATTGAGTTTTACATTTTACCATTCGATACCGTTGATTAACAGATTGGCTTACAAGCTCTATAAAACCGATAGAAAGAAAAAAACGTCACCGTTAGAAGTATTATCTATAGTTTATGGATCATAATTTTAGCCATTCTGTGGAGAATCGTCATCATCTTTTCCCGTTTGTGCCCAAGACACATGGGGCAGATGAAGTTGAGTTCATCTGGTTCAGTGACCTCGGCATACTGAAGGATAATGTGGTCAGCACTATGCCCAGCCGCCTTTGGTTTCCTAACGTGAGTTAGGTACCCATCAGAGCTGGGTGGACTCAGGGGCGTTATGATGATCTGAGCTCGAGACTTTCCGGTTTGCAGCCTAGCTCTCTACCCTTAGGCCACGCCAACCCAATGCAGAATAAAGACTGCATTTGATAAAGGTTTGCTAAATTTCTAAAAAGATTTCAGAATTTTATATTTGTCAAAATAGCTGTAATATGAAAAAAAAAGGCAAAAAAATATATAATTAAAATCTACGTATATGTATAATAAAATATATTTGAAATGATTGTTTTCACTTTAAGCTAATGCGCACGGCTGCATTTGAAGACAATGCAACTTAGAAAATGTTATCTTCGTCCATTATTGCTAGAATAGCATAAATAGAGGAAATTAATAACAATAGATAAAATGCCGTTAAAATTATATTTCAGTATGTGATTGGAACGTCTTCTCTGTCTTAACAGTTGTAAATATGCATTAGAGATTTGATGAATACTCAAACAGATGAGGAGATGTAAAGTTCTCTTTTACATCCTGACGGTATCTAACTGTCCATGGAACAACGTTCCCTGACCTTGACATATAAAAGGATAGTGTGGTCATCACTATGCCAAGCTTACTTTACTTTCCCTAACGTGAGTTAGGTACCCATCGGAACTGGGTGAACTCAGGGACATTTTACTGGCTTGAACCCGGATTTGAACTCGAGACTTTTGGGTTAGCAGACTAGCTCTCTGCCACCTGACGTAGTATGAAAGGATTACAATATTGAGAAACTCGACTACTGGGCCACACAGTCCCATGGTGAATTGGTAGAAGAAAGGCAACTGCAGGGGGGGGGGATAAATTAAATTGACACCTTTAAATAAATTTATAATATAACAGATCTAAAAATAGAGACCTCTGTCGACCGTTTTGCAAAACAATTGCTGGATATTACGAATAGAAAAAGGACAGTAAAGTCATTTTCTAGGACCAGCGTTAAGTAGAAAGTGTCGTTTAAATACGAGCATATTGAATCAGTTTACACCACTAGCTATTCTTTTTAATATTCGATTGATTCACGATGTACGTAAACAGTATACAACATCAGTATTCCATTTCTTCTATTGTAATTGCATGGGGCACGGGTTAGTCCACACTGCAGCCCAGCCTTCACCTCGGTATGCTGTAGAACATACTTGAGTGTAAGATGATAACCCTCTGCCCAGGTATCAGTGCTCTGTATGTTATATAGTGCTCATGGGGGCGCTGTGGGACGCACAACAGCCGGGACGACCGAACACGATACTATTGCAGTTGAAAAGGAGTAGGCCTGATCTCCTGACAGGACGTCCATAGTGTGGATCCCAGTAGCTTGGATAGCCGCGGGGGTATTGCACCCCACCACACACTACCGATCGGCGCCGCCCATCTGATATTTGAAAAAAAAGTTCGCGCCTGAAGCCATTGCGAACGAATTTTCAAAATTTCACGGCAATCGGATGAATGGTGTAGTTGAGTATAAACAATTTACGCGACCGACCCGCAATAACAAACGAAATCCCTTATGTAGGGCGCGCTTTAAAACGAATGTAGGTGCCATAGTGCTAATGCCGAAGCCTTTGGCAATTAGGATTACTCGATCTTCCGTGCGCTAGAGGACGCCCTTGATGTTGTTTGAGTACCTGTGAAAGAAATAAAAAATCCAGTTAGATTTATTTTCATTTTCATCCTCATAAACTCCATGACATAAAATATTGTATTCATATGTTAGTGATAAAATACATATATAACTCACAGCAAAAATAATCATGGCTTGCATGCTGTAACAGCTTACTTTAACAAGTCACTTAGTGTTGAGATTGAATTAACATATTAAGTGTATATCAGTTCAGCGATCGGATGTTATAGGCCTACAGGAAAACTAATCTTCAAATGCAGGATTCAAATGTTTCGACTACGGGTTTTTTTTTAGACATTTTGTTTCCATTATACATTTATGTTACATTCTAAAAAATCTAACTTAAGTATAGTTTTATTTTTGGGTAGTCGTTTAGTGTTAAACAGAAAAAAAAACAATAATATGTTGCAGGCTAAAACATGATTTTCGCTAAAATTTTGCAAATGACTTCAAGTTTCATGTATTCAAAAATATTTCTGCTAAAGTAACATGCTTTTGAGAATAAATTTAAAGTGGTTCTTAAAACAAAACAAAGATAAAACGAATAAATCCAAAAATTATAACATAATCGTGTATTGTAACTTGAGCCGCATTTTAGTTTAAACAATATATAAATACTTTTTAAAATCCAAAACCTATTTTATCTTTCCTGACAATGCAAGAATAACGAATAAAAGAAAAGCATAAAGCTTTGTTTCCAGCACCCAACATGTTAAACGTTGCTATAAAACGTTTGTTTCAGTAATATAATATGCACATTGCTCCAAACTCTAATTTTTTGCTAAATGCAACAACAGAAGCAAGCATTGTCATCAGCTCGCATTATTCTATGTTTATATGGATCAAAGGCACTAAAAGTAGCAAAAACAATGTAAATCGTGATTTCGTTTACGAAATTCTCGTATGTTTATAATCTAAAATTCACTGCATTAAATCTTTCGATGTCATGAATCTACTAATACAATACAACTGTGCATACCTAATTTATAGCATTCAAAATATCTACATTGTTTTGATCATGTAATAAAAACATGTAATGTATATTGCATTGTTATAACCTTTCAATATTGTTTTCTTTCCTAACTATATTGGATGAAAAACATAAGTTTCTAAGGTAAATTGTGTTTATCCTCGCAATACTAATTAGCTTGCAAACGATAGCTTCCATGTGCAATTAGAAATATATTAAAACAAAATCATAATACACAAGCATGTAGCTCCTGTAAGCTTTTAATTACCAGAGGCGTAGCGAGGGGCGGGGGGGGGGGTGGGGCGGACCGTACCAGGTGACACCATTTAGGGGGTGACACCAAGGCAAAAAATAGCAAAATATATAGAGAAAAACTTGAGGGTGGTGCAAATCGAAAGTTGGAGGGGGGGGGGGGGTGCAAATCGAAAACTTGAGGGGGGGATGCAAATCGAAAGTTTGAGGGGAGGGGGGGGGGGAGTGCAAATTGAAAGTTTGTCCCCCGCCTCTGGGGGGTGACACCATTAAGTGCCGAACCGGGTGACACCCGACCTCGCTACGCCACTGTTAATTACGTTTATTTTTTTAGAATGAACTGTTTTGAAACAGAGTAACAAAAATTAAGATTTTATTTTCTAATCAGCAAACGTGTCATTTTTCGAAGCACGATTAAATTAACAGTCTAGAAAATAAAACAAAAAATGCATACTAGTCATGTATTTGGGTTGTAAGAATGCTAATCACATAACACTTTCTTTTCATAGGTGTTATTTTAAAAGCATAAACAATATTTCTACAATCAGACAGTGCTTTAAGTTTTATTGTTAAGACTTTTGTGGATTAAAGATTACTTTGACAGGCAAATATAAAACTAAAGAAGCCGATACAGAATTCTCAAAACAATGACCGCTTTCTTCTTCTTTTCAACATTTTCCAGCGTTAAAAGTTATGCGAACCTTTTATCAAATCTTTAATGCGTTCCTTTCAAGATCGTAAACAATTAAAATATTTTCTGCAGAAGATGTTTAAAATGTCTTTTATGATTTTCATATGCCAATAATAATCGCTGAAAAGATTTTCAAAGATTAACTTCAACATTAACCATCATAAAAATAATGCTTAATGCATATATGTTGTTAACAATTGTGGGTTTAAAATTGTTTCTATTCAAACTGTAGAAAATGAGTTTTTAGAATAAATACATATACAAGTTCTTAAAAACCAAATTTATGAGAGAAAATTAGCTAAAAGGATATGTTGAATAAGCTCCATTTAAAATAAGATATTGCAATAATTATAAAACAATGCAAACATTTTACATGAGGGTTTGTTATTCAGCTTTATTGCCAAAGAACTTGTATACAATTATAAATGGAGAATGACTATTACAGCCTATAAATAGCTGGAACACTAGAGGTCCTCGTTATCAGTTAAATTTTCTGTTTCTCTGAAGTACCAGAAAACAAAAATATTTGTTCCGAATATTTAATACATTTAAGAAATGGAACAGGCTACTAATATAAAATGAACTGCTTAAACTAACAGACATGCCGAAAATTAAGTTTTATTACGCCTGTTTTGTAACCTTGACCTTCCATTGTAACATTGGATGTTTTGGTCAAGTTGACAGCGGATCCTCCATTGTTCCCTGGAACAAAACTTCGATGTCACCAACTTCCTACTTGCAGCTGTTCTACAATAACTGGTGCATAGAAAACAAGTTTGTTAGTAGACGTAGGAATTTCGAACCGCAACAGATCTTCTGTTCTTGCCGGCGTCCGTATTGCGATTTATTCGACAACTGCTGTCCAGAACTTTCTAGAAGTGATTTTGACTTTACATTACAGGGCGCAGAAATAACATCGCTCCGCAGTGTTAACAATTTCAGAAGTTACAAGTACACGACAAGGAAAAATCTACCTAGACTTCACTGCGAGTCCGAGCGGGCATCGTCTCATGTTTTGACCATCCGGTCTTGCCCGGACAACTACACAGGTCCGGCCAGGGTCGTAGAGCTGTGTGAGGCGGACATCCCACGAGAGATGATGACTTTGGATGTTTACAATTTCGTTGTTGACATGGAAACGGATTTCCTGTTCTGGAACAAGTACTGTGCCCAGTGCAACGGGTACTCTAACGTAAGTGAATTGTTAAAACATGATTTTTTAATCTTGTATCTATATAGACTACTTCTACAATTAAGATTACTTTTTACACAATTGTGTATTTATTTATTTATATTTTGTTTGTCTGTTTCGCTTGATCAGCACATCTGCACAATATGTTGAATTTAAAAATACGTATTTATGAAGAGAATAATGCTCTGTTTTCAAAATTGGTTTTATACAAACTTATTTCAATATTTATAGTTCAATGAATGATATATTCATATATAGAAACACAAGCTTAATTATAAAATTTGAGAACAAATACGTTATTTTCACAACATGGCTCCTACGTAAAATAGACCATGTTTTCCAATAGAAATAGTTTCATGCAGTACACAACTTTATTTTTATTGTCGTCTATAGTTTTAACGATATTTCTGTTTGTAATAATTAGCAGATTCCACCACTATTAAATTTTAAATAAGATACGCTTGACAGATCATCTAATTGAGAAAAAAATTATCAAGATATACCGATATACTACATTTAAGACGTTTGAGCACTGACGGAGAACAAGTAGATTTAAAAATCTTATCTTGGGCTCGCGTTTAAAAGATTTCCCCAACTCGAATGCCCCTGAGTCTACCCAGCTCTAATGGTTACCTGGAGGGGGGGGGGATGCGGCTGGACAAAAGGCTGACTATTCTATTCCTTTATAGATTAACTGTACTTCATCTGTCTAATGTGTCTTGGGCACGAACTAGAAAAGGTGATGAGTATAGTGCGACCACTCTAACAATTCGTATGCCTAGATCACTAATACATATGAACTCTACTACACCTTAATTTTTAAACAGTACTTTTAAATTTGTATAAATAAAACCGGAGTCGGCGTGGTCCAGTCGGTAAAGCTCAAGGCTGAATACCAAAAAGTCTCGAGTTCTTACCCTCGTTAGCTGGGGACAGCCACTCTTCAAACAGTTGATGTACAAAGGCCGTGGAAGCACATCCAAAAAGAAAAGCAGGCAACGGCCAATTTTGCGCATCACAAGTTGACAAGTAATACTTTATTGAAGAGAATTCCTTTCCAACATGAAAAATTAAGATAAACATGTAAAAGACAATTTTTCAGTTTATTAAGCTGACAAATAAAATGTAAACTTACAGCTTCGTCCAGTACGAGAATTGGAATTATTTTGCCAAGATTACCAGATTATGTACAAGGCAACGGATTATGACGAGATGATAAACACGTCACTCCGGGAACCAACCTGCGTCTTACGTCATCAAACATCAAACATGACATTCTCCAACTGTTTTCCGGAAATGTGAGTACATTGGTCAGGTGGGTAAGAGCGTGAGTGATAATCCGCATGTCCCAAGTTCGAACCCGTTGGCAGTTAAATCTCGTTATATATATATATATATATATATATATATATATATATATATATATATATATATATATATATATATATATATATATATATATATATATATATATATATACATATATATATATATATATGTATATGTATATATATTAACTATGTACATAGAGAGAGCGCGAGAAAGGAAAAAAAAATAGTAATTTTGTTTCCTAAATATATCGTTTAGGCACGTCATAGACACATGTGACTTTGCGCCCCCTGATTGGAAATCAGACGAGGAGGTAGAAAGGTCATGTTCGCAGTTTACCAACACGATGGATCAAGTTTTTACTGTTAACCCGGTTCAATTTTATAAGAACGTTTTCTGTTACATTTGTAACAAAGTAAGTTTTAAAGTAGCGTCTTCCTATATGTGACAAATTCCGATGTAAAATAATGTCTTATTTTAATTTACTTTTGTTAGGAATGTAGGCCTATTTGTTTTGAAAGCTTTTTTTTTAAGTTTTAAATATTTTTGAAAACTCATTTTACAATTTATTCTTAGGGGGTGCACCTCATTAAACTTCTTTACAAGGCTAATAATTACTTGATTTGATTGAAACTTTGATTATGGTGTCTTATATACATTGTTTTAAGCTATGTAATAAGCTATATCAAGAATCTTAAACAGTTATTTTTTTAAGACACGTTTTTTTTCTTCTTTTTTTCACACTCTTGTTTTTTTTACAAGTTTAAAAAATTTAAAAGTATATATCCCAAACACTATCTATTGAATTTTAATGAAATGTATCCATAGCTACACAACATAATCACAATTGAACTAATATAGTTTTTGTATGTTACATCAAAGTTTCTTCCAGGCATCTCTTCGGGGGGGGGGGGGGGGGACGAAGCCCCCCCCCCCCCCCCCCGAAAAAATTCTATCGCCCCCCCCCCCGAACGAAATGAAATTTATATAATTTATATAGAAAATACATACTTTTAACAGTGTCCGCTCCCCCCCCCCTGAAGAAAGTCTACCGCCCCCGCCCCCCTCCCCCCCGAAAATTTCAAGTGCCCCCCCCCCCCCCGGAGAAAAAAGTCTGGAAGAAACACTGTGTTACATTAAGATTTTTTGTTGTTGAGAATTTCATAGTTAAGATTTTAACCTTATAACCAAAGATTTGTAACTTCAATATTATGTCATATATTCAAAACTTTTTATTATTTCTTTATTAAGCATCCTCTTCTTTATTTGCATTTGAAGTTCAAAGTCAATATAGTAAACGGCTATTGAGTTCTATAGATTGTGGCAGGATATGTAATAATCATAAATTTCTCAATGTTTTAAACGGCTAACGCTGATCACACTTTTATTTGGTCAAAAGGTATATTGAAAAGCTATACAATTAATATGCAAGTTTTTTTCTCTAATAAAATTGCTTCCTGAATTTTCATGAGGTGGGTGCACTACCCCCTTAGATTTGTAACACGATAGGTGTTTATGGAATATCTGCTAATATATTTTTAAACTGTAATTTTTCTTAAATTTTAGATATAATGTCTTCTGTTTCAGAACACATACCCGACTGAAAAGGAAAAGGGTGCTGGAGATAGCTCCGCCCTTTTCGAGGTAGTCCCGCCCTTTCCCCAGCTCATCAGGTTCTCTAGGCAAGTCATAAACGACGATACTAGCATGAAAGAATCAAACTTAAATCAGTGTGAAGACACACACTGGCTTTCGCCTGATGTAAGTTGTCGTAGAATTTAACCGTTAACTTGACAAAAGTATTGTATTACCGTTTCCAACTTTAACAAATGTTTTAAAAAATCAATTAAGATAAAAAAAAAAAACAATAAACTTCATATTGTTGAAATAATTCAATGTATTTATTGCAGAAAAACTGTAAACCACTATTGTAATAGTTTTTTTATCTCATCATTTCATTTAGGTGTTAATAAATTACTCAAAAAGTATGACGGTGTATGGAACAAGTGAAGTAGAGTTCACTTATTTCTATGACCTTAGCATACAAAGGGATAGTGTGAGCAGTACTATACCCAGCCGCGTTCAATTTCGCTAATGTAAGTTAGGTACCCAACAGAGCTCCGTGGACTCAGGGACGGTCTGCTGACTTGAACCCGGATTTGTACTCGAGGCAGGGGCGTAGCGAGGGGGGGGGGGGGCGGGGGGTGCGGACCGCACCGGGTGACACCATTTAGGGGGGTGACACCAAGGCAAAAAAATAGCAAAATATATAGAGAAAAACTCGAGGGGGGGGTGCAAATCGAAAGTTTGAGGGGGGGGGGTGCAAATCGAAAGTTTGAGGGGGGGGGGGGGTGCAAATCGAAAATTTAAAAGTTTGTCCCTGGGAAGGGTCTCTATGCCTCTGGGGGGTGACACCATTAAGTGCCGCACCGGGTGACACCCGACCTCGCTACGCCACTGACTCGAGGATTAGCAGTTTAGCTCTCTACCGCAGGCCACTTCATCCCTTCATGCCTTCATTAAGAAACTAACAACATTTTTATTAAACTATAAGCCGAAAGTGTTCTTTAGTTAAGGTGCCCTTAAGATACTACTGTTTTATTTACGGTGACCGTATGCCACGAACGTATTTACCTAAGGGTGTCAATAAAAAGCTGATGTAATTGTTCCAGGGCACGTGTAAACCGCTCCACTGTAGCCCAGGTAAAAAGCTGATCTCCGGCAACTGCAGAACGTCCAACAGTGACGTCACAGGACTGGGCTACAAACTGAGTACCTGGTTCATGCTTAGACCAGCAGACGTCAAATTAGATCAGTTGTCTCTGAAAGCCATTGGCGATATCCTTGAATCTCAGGTGCCCTTGATACTCTTATTGAAACTCTTCACCTCTGCACACACACAAATAATCGCCATTAAATTTTATCTCATTTCATTCGTTCTCAATTCAATTGTTTAAAAGATTAGTATATATTTCTTAGGAAAGCAGTTTACCGTTAGTAATTTCAAAGTATATTTTCGCAAGACGTGGCACTTAATGTCTTTTTAAAGTAACATAATATTTTGTGTAAATGTAATTTTTTTTTCCTCATCTGATTTCTAGTCATTATAATTTGGCATTTTACTTTCTGTAGACTACTGGTAAAGAAACACGTGTTTTTTCTATTGATAATACCATATGATATAGTTGTTGTTGATCAGTTGCTTAATGTTGATTGGCCACAAGGTGTTTGCAATGGATAAATCAAATTCCTACTGATTTTCAGATGCTAAACGAGACAAATCTAAAAGCAAGAAATATTTTGTTGCAGTATAAGCTAGGTACTTTCGCTGAAGGACAAAATACTGGAAGATATAAAGTTCAGTCTCCACTTGTGATAATGGCTGATATTTTCATCGTTGCCCAATTAGAGATATCAAGAGATGATTTTGAAGATTTTATTGTGAATAAGTTGATTAGAACTCCGTTAACTATTGCGGAAAACACAGAAATATATCTTGTCCCCTATTTAAAGTCTGGTGGCTTAACAGAGTCCATTTTGATAGAATGGTGTCGTTGGATTACCAAACATTGCTTGTATGAAAGAACAAGTTATTCAATATACGAAAGTAAATATGATGTTTTGAATCGCAAGGACTTGCTCGTGAAGGTGACGAATACTTTAGCATGTAGTTTTGTAAGTTTCAGCAAGTCAGAATACAAATTGGATGTCGTCGAAACTGACTTCCCACCATCCGTGACAGTTACTGTTAATCTTGGAAATACCAAGTTGATCTTCTCGAAGGTGTCGGAGATCAACATGTTGGAGATTGACGGCGATGGTGTGTTGAATGTTTGTCGTAAAGATCTGGACGATAAACTCGCCTCTCTGGACAAAACTCCAAATGAACTGAACTATTACGCCAATATACTGACTCTCACTTGCATGTCCGCGTCAATGCTGTGTCTCCTGGTGTCTTTAGTGACGTACATCCGGTTTTCTGAGCTGAGAAACAGTGCAGGCAAAAACAACATGTTCCTGTGTACAAGTCTTTTACTGGCTCAGGCATCTTTGTTGGCAAGTTCTTATCTGTAAGTTTGTTTGTTCAACTTCAACAATGCACACCCAATTTTACACAGTCGTCTTAGAAGATTTAATATTTTTTCTAGCATGCTGTCAAATTGTAACTGCTTTACTGCTAAGATAAATAATCAATTTGGTTTTATTGCTTAAAAATATTGCCATGTTTTGCCATTGTCTGACAAAGTGTGGTTAAATGGAATTTATCTATCTATTTTTATACTACAATGGAATTTATCTATCTATTTTTATACTACTAAAACTCAAGTTTGTTTACAAGTTTGAATTATAATTTTTTTTGTTTTTTATTTATTTTATTAAATATTTTATTATTTATGTGGAACATAATGTTCCATTTTATTATTGCTATATCATAGTAACACTGTTTTTCATATTTCTACATTTCTTAGCTCGGGTTACAAGTATTTCTGCATTGCTTTTGGAATATCTACCCACTTTCTCTGGGTGTGGAGTTCGGCCTGGACTTTAGTGTGCAGCATACGCATGCTCCAAATGGTGTCAACTAAATATCAAAAACCACAAAAATCAGCAGAAGAACGACGAACTTTGGTTAAAAATGTTCTCTTTACCCTTGCCCTGCCAACCATTTCTGTAGCAACGGTTGTGATTTCATCTCAGATACTAAGCCATGGTCGGAAGATAGGATACGGCGAAATCAACTGCTTCATTGATTATAACATTCACTTAGGTTTGATTTTTAAATCTTCGTCTTTACATTTGGTTTTTTAAATTTTACACGTTTGTTACGTACCGTAACATAATGTTTTTCTTATCTTGCGAATACATAGTATCTTTTTTGTACAAAATGTTTCCTTTTTATAAGTTATAATCTATCTACATGCCCCAACACATTAAGTTATATATTATGACTGCACACTTCGAACACAGTAGTAATGTAATTCATTATCATTCACCGTCTAGAATTTGTTCTGTTATGAGAATCGTTACATTTTAATGCAATTTACCCACCCTAAATTTGGTCATTTTTCTTTCGATTCTTATACACAGGTTTGTGCCTGATCACCCCTCTAGCTCTCATCACCGTGTGTAATGTGGCTTTGTTCATCGCCACCGTCGTCAGGATCTACACCATCAGCAGATCTGTCACACAACAGGACAAAATCAGCACCAGCGATAGACAGCTCTCATTGATCTATGTTACGCTGTCGTTGATGACCGGAGCTTTCTGGCTGCTTGCTATCGTTGGAGAAGGGACGGAATCGAAACCACTTCAGTAAGTATCCATTGAAATCAGTAAAATGTCTTGTTTTTTAATTTATAAATCAGAAATATAATTCTGTATGTCTTTTCTAGTTTTTGATAATTATTGTTATGATACTTACAAATGTCTTCATTTAAAATCTAACTGTATTTTATTTTGCATAAAGTATAGGTTACCTATGATGCATATTACTAAAATAATATTTATAATAAAAAAAAAGTATATCCCACAGGTTCACATCAATTATACTAAACGGCTTACAAGGTGTTTTCTTCTTTGTGACGTGTGTCTGCAACAATCGAGTGGTCAGACTGTACTGTCCATCAATCGGACAACGCGACGTCACATCCAAAACACCATTCACAACTAAATAGATCCAGCACTGGCTCTATACATACTAGCTCGATCACTGGCCAACAAAAATCTTTATCTGTCAATTCAATCATTTTCTAATCTCAAAAGTAGTACCAGTTTGTGTTATTTGTAATATGTTTGCTAACTTTCAAACAATTTATGTTTTTTTTTTAAGCGTAATGTTGTCTGTAATTGCTTTTTAAATATTTTATTTTCCTGTTTCTGCTTTAACCTAGTGAAAGGAAAGTACTTACAAACATGAAATTTAAAAAAAGTAGCTTAAAACGAATGCATAATAAACCGGGAGTGATCTCCCCAAAACGTTCTGGAATATTCTTATATAAAACAACAGGGGATGGGAACTCCATTTTAAATAGAATAAAATCTCGTAGAAAAACAGAATTGCAAACCAAGTGAACGCCAAATGAAATGTGCATAATAGTGCGCAATATTATTAGTACTTTATAAATTTACATGCATTTTTTGAGAAATCGGAAATAGAGTAAATTAGTACTTTCGGTCAACGGAAATTATTCAAAATTTGACAGAAAGTAGAGAATTAGATCTTTCACTTACGTGTGAAATTTCATTTATCTATCTAAAATAGTACTTAAGTTGTAGGCTTTTGAAAAATTCAAAGTAGAAAAAGTACCACTCACGGTTATTGGAAATCGCTCAAAAGTTGATACGGATCTACGATTTTGATAAAATACTTATATATGAAATTTCATCAACCTAGCTGTAACGGTACTCAAGCTATCGTGTTTACACACAGACACACAGACACAGACACACAGACACACGGACAAAATTGCAAAATTATGTTTTTCTGTATTAAAGTGTAAAACGTCGAGATTTGTAAAAATCTCGATTATTATTTTTTTGCAATATTACAAGACTTTCTCTATACTTCGTATATACGAGAAATTAAAAAAATTGTATGTAATAATGCGCTAAAAGGAAAAAATAATGATTTTCTTTAAATATATATATATATATATATATATATATATATATATATATATATATATATATATATATATATATATATATATATATATAATACTAACTCGAACGATATTAGTGACCATGCAAAGAAATAACTAAATAGTTAAAACTCCGACACGTTTAAAATCACATAGGCTACCAATATAAGTGAGAAAAATTAAAACAAAATTAGATAAATATACATAATTAGCCAACATAACGACATATTAAATGCGCAAACTGATTAAGAGACTTAAATAACTCCATTAGAAATCCGACTGTTCAATGGTATTTATGTTATTTTAAAAATGAATATGTATTAGTTTCGGCCAAGAAAATTGTATACATTTGTAGCAAAAAAAATGAGCTAGGTATATGTTTTTAAAAAAAATTGGATACAAACTTTTTGTTCTAGATTAACACATTAGATTTTTTAAAAATTGGTTAGCTTCGTTGCTTTCATTAAAATTTCTTTTTTTTTTAATTAAGTAAGTAACTATTAAACACTGTTTGGCTGTTTGTTTTGCACATAGAAGTAACAGTTTTGAGTGGATTTGTTCTCTTGTTTTAAGCTATTTTGTTGTTCTAGTATTATTCCAGCCTTGTCAAGTCTTCAGTTCTTTTTTCTCGTGTAACTACTCTTCCAGTGTTTTTTTGTAACCAGTAACTTAAATAAACTGTAAATCTTAATCTAATCAATAAATACTGCGTTATTGTTTTCTTTTTCAAGTTATTGTGTCGCCATTAAACCAACACCACAAATGTTACAATAGAACCCCTCAGCATAAGAGATTTTGTGTTATTGATATAAAATTTGTGAAATATCACACTACATTTATAGAGAACACATTAGTTTTAAAAATATTCAAAAGTAACGCGTAGACAATCTGCTATGATAATACATTTATACGTTATATTTCAAAAGTGGTTAATTTTGAGGTGTTAAGGGAGTTGGAAAGCAGGTAAAGTTAATAAAATAGCAGTGTTAAACAATGTGGTAAAAAAGCAAAATATAAGTTCTATAAAATACAGTCGCCTAGATCAGACGAGCTCCGAGACTAATACTCTTGATGTCACCAGATAGCCACGCCTGCAATGCAACAATAAAACAAAAATATTGTCCATTTAATCATACAAAAGAAAAACTTTCCCAATCGTCGACTTTTATTGCCCATGCAAGAAAGACATGGGTAGGCGTGAAATCTGACTCCGATGGCGGCTAACTGACCTAGATGCAGCTATTTTAAATTTTTATGTTCTCGATATTATTTTATGATTTGAGTAAATCTACAAAGAGTCACGATTTTGTATTATTTTATTGAAATAATATAAATTAGAAGCATACAAATTTAGACTTTTTTTCAAGAACATGATATTCAAAAACAACTTAAAAAACAGATAAAAAATCAACAGCTCTACGATCACAAAACAAATTTGATTGTGAATGTTTGTGAGGAATAATTGCTGTAAAATTATAAAAAAAAAACAATACATGGAGAAGAAAACAATGGGTGCTATTTTTTGTTATTTACAAAATAAAGTAACACAATTGTATATATTTAAATTATTAAAAAACCCATCAGAAATGTATTTTCACCCGATAAAATTTGTATTGTTAAAATTTACAAAGCCTTTTTGTCAACATCGGAGAATTTTCCTTTTTTTTACAGAAAATTATTTTTATAGAATAACAAATGACTTCGTGTAATCAATATTGAAACCAAAGAAGAGATAAAACTCAAACTAAAATGATGTTTGATACTTACTTAAACAGGAGGCGTTTGCATAATTATATATATATATATATATATATATATATATATATATATATATATATATATATATATATATATATATATATATATATAATTTGTTAGTTAAATACAATAAAGTATTTTAAAAAATTAATTGATTTTCTTTACTAAACTAATTCAGGCCTTAATGGGACAAGATACCCATGATTTCGATAAAATTTTAATTTTGCTCCCCCAAAATTTTTTTTTCTTAATTCGGTACCAATATCTTTTATCTAAGTAACCCAAACATTTCGGACTTCTACAGCTTACGGTTATCCGTTTATTGCAATGTGAAACATGGTACCCCCCGGAAAGTTTTCACACTACTACGCGGACAGCTGCTATCTTCGAGCGGGTATTACATAATTTATTGCCCGCTAGAAACCATAAACTTTACAGCAATCTAAGGACCTAGCACCCGTGTACCCGCTGAAGTAGTGACCTTTTTTTTTGTTCTAAAAATAAGTGGGATAGAAGTTGTAAAAAATATGAATGGGAAGAGATTCATTGAAACGCTTGACCAATCATATTATAGTACAGTAAACAAAATAATTCACGGTAGTTTAACAAGTATAAACATATGAATTTATTAAACACCCAGAAATGTGTTAAATAAAAAAATTCTATCCGTAGTGATTATCCTTAAATGTTTTATACAAATCTTTCTTTCTTATATTTTAAAATTTTTAATTGTTTAAAAATCAATCACTTTTTGTTAAATTCATGTTCTTTTTAATTTTAAATTAATTTTGTATTTTCATATATTTGAAACTCTAGAAACAAATACTGTTTGCATATGCGGTTGAAATTACACCCAAACTCTCAATAAGTAATGATATTATAACTTACACAATGCCATCTTATTTTAATGCAATTTCTCTATCATAAGCTGCATTTATTAGTATAGAAGTTTGTAAAATTATTATCTATCTATATACTACTAAAACTCAAGTTTTTTTGCAAGTTTGCATACATTTCTTTTCTGTTATTTTGTTTGTCTTTTGGTTACAGAAGAGAATCTGCACTATTTGAAAAATGTAAAATACGTATTTCGGTAGAGAACAATGTTTTTTATTACCAAATTATTAATCACACATTCATTTAAAGACGTTAATTAATTAATTTATATATTCATTGATAGGAAAACCACTTTTATTATAACATTTCAGAACAATGACTTTTTTATAGTGACGTCACATGATTCATTATCTTTTTACAATAAACATGGCGTATCACATGTAAGATCATGTTGCCTAGATAAAAGTTTAACGCATTATAAAGCTAAGTTTTCTTTAAGCTATAGCTTTAACGATACGTCCGTTTGCTATTTTTATTAGGTTCCAACACTATTATCAATTTTCAACAGTTCTTCTAATTTGAGTATACAATTCATTTCTCTAGATCTACCTACATTTAGGGAGGAAGTGAAAATCAATCGAAGTAGAACCTAGATCTTAAATCTTGGTCATACCAAAATTAATTATTTAAAGATAAAACAATTATAAAATAACAATACATTTTTGAGTTTTTTTATTTAACTATTTTAGTCATTAAATATTTGATATAAATCTTTGCTTTATAGCTTTAAGTATAATCGTATTCAAGAATACACGAGATTTATCTATCCAGAACTAGAGCTACGGAAAAACTAGACTTAAGCCAGCCATATGTTTTAGATCTAGAGAGTTCATCGGTTTCTGTGTGCTCAGCCTATGAAGGGATAGTGTGGTCAGACCTATCCTCGGCCGAAATCGGTGTTTTTAAACGATAAAACAACATGTTGTCTGAGACTTGGCGAGACACTGGGCAGGTACAGTAGGTTTGGGCAGTTGTAGAGTTCACCTGTGACATCAGCATATGAAGGGATAGTGTGGTTAGA